GGGGGGAAGGGGGGCTGGGGGAGGTACTTGATTAATTTTGTCCAGCGGGCTTCTTGTTCGGGCTGTTTTTTGTAGCAATTAATCTAGTCAGCAAAGATTCCTGATCCAAATTCAAGTCCAATTGATACCCTCCGCTTCAAAAATACAATTCGTGTCGTCAAGCTCTCCCCAAACCCAAAACCCAGAGCTCCAAAAACGCAAATGCGGGGGCGGGGTAAAGTACTGAATCGTCTAGAGTACATACCAAAGGCTCAGTCTTCAAGACCTTCGCATCAGAGGCCGAGGCCAACATTTTTGTTTCTTCCATGGATTAAAAAGGATTTGGAAAGTATGTAGGTAGCGTTTGAGGACGGATGGTGGAAGAGTTCTTATGGATTTGTTGTGTTTGGAATGAGTGAAAGGAGTTTGGAGATATGCAGATGCTGGGATGGGAGCTTCAGCTTCACCTGCAGCCCTTGGATAGCACCCCACTATATTTTTATACCTAGGTGAACCCTGAGCTTGTGAGTGCATATTGGTATTATGGGGCTTGCTTGATTACGAGGTATATTTGTTCAAAGGAGTAAATTTGGTATTGGATTGCTCATACAAGTAGAGCATTCGCAATACTAGTACCATTTCTCACAACAGAAATCCTGTGCTTTTCAAAGGAGTATCTGCAAGAAGGATTGACATGAGACCAAGTTAAGTTATTCTAAAACCAATGAGAATTCCAAAAACCAACGCCTAAAACGCCTACCTAAAGCACCCAAAACACAAAGAAAGATTTTCAATAACACACATCTCCCCAGACATTAATAACCTGCAAAAAACCCATCACAACCTCCCCACCCTCTTCAATCCCTCATACAAAGCCAAAGCCAACGCCCCAAGCGCCTTCGCATCCCTGGCCCCCTCCCACCAAAGATCCTCCAACTTCACCAACTTCAACGTAATCTTCTCTCCCTCATCCCTCAACCCCGTCAACTTGCCCGTCCACTCCTTCAACTGCTCACTGGGGACCCTCTTCTCATGTAAAAACAGGGGTATACACTCATCACACCCACCGGCGGAAGGGAACATCGCTCTGGGCACCTCCTCCTCCCCCTCCTTCTGAGAAATAGCCAGTTCGGACATATTAACAAGTTGATCCTCAGGGATATCCAAACCCAGCTCCTCCTTGATTTCCTTCGCCGCAGAGCCTTTGAACGTCCCATCATCTTCCATTCCCGCGGGCAACTCGAGGAATTGAAGGGAGCCGGCTGCGATACGTGGTTGTAGCGTCAACAAAACATATTTCTCAGCCTAAGAACCTTCTGAGAGGTCGTCTGGCTGCAGGATAACTAGCATGCCTACGGAGGCGCCGCGGAGGAATATAGAACCTGGGAGACTTTCATCCTTAGAATTCTTGACGGTGGCGGTGAGTTTTATGAAGCCGATGCGAGGGCCCCAGCGGTCGAGGGATTGGATTTGGATGTGTGTGAGTGCGTAGGGCGCGGAGTGGAATTCGTGGGTGGATTGGCTTTGGAGGGAGAGGTTGGATTGTATTCGTGTGTACCATTTCTGTTTCTATTAGCATTACTTCTCCTTCCCCATCTCTCTCTCCCTCTTCAACTCGCAAAATGGGCCGTACCTTGAAAGCAGGGAACTCCAAAACCTCCTCCTTCCTCGCGCCTTCGCAGAGCTCGAGTGTTACGGACGAGTCGGGGATCGTAAATGTAGTCGTCATATTCGCAACGTATCGTTTTTGTATCGTAGTTCCGAAGTGAGAGTATGTTCTGTATCGGGAGAAAGGTTGTAAGATCCGTATTGAGAGAGCTCTTAAGTACATGGCATGCAAGAAGCTCGAAGTGAGGTGTGATTCTACATAGATCAACCTAACCCTGTGAGTCCGCTACCTGCCTACAAGCATCTGCCAGTCGTCCTCGCGCGTTAATGTGTTGTGATATGTTGGTTATCGTCTGTTTTCAATCGCATGCTCTAATCGAGTGGACAAGGGAGGGGTGATGTTGGTCGTTCGCATCGTTGCGGTGATTGTGACGTAGCGTATTTTAGCGTGAGAGTGAATGACAGTGGGCGCGTACTGTACTCGATTCACTCACCCTCTCGAAACCTGCCACAAAAGAGTATCTACTCCAGTCCTCGAATGATTCCCCGCCATCCAGATCCAGACTTCCAAAGTACTGCAGTCCTCAAGAACCGTAAAAAGAAAAAAAAGCCCGCGCGCACACGAGAAATCTCGACCTCGGCATCCGGAGAAACCCTGATACCCGTCCGTCACGTTTCTTGTCAGGAATCCAATGGTTCCGTATACCGAGAAAATAATGGATGTGGTATATTTCCAAGGGTTGGGTGTTAAGTGTATTGGACTTATAGAGTTTTTTTCTTGATGTGAATGTCTTGCTTGGTTGGTTGTGAGATTAATTACATTAGTGGTGTTAGGAATTTCTTCTTCTTAGTGAAAGTAAGCGAAAATCCATATGTGAATACAAATTCCGTCACATGTACTTTATAAATGAGGAATAGTCTTTCTTCAGAGCTGAATTGAGAGAGAATTCCTTACCAGAGTTTTAACTGGTAAAGACGTACAAGTATTATGAAGATACAGTTACGGTACTTGATTTCAGACACGCGAACTTGATGATTCTTGATTGATATGCGTATATTACTATTTTTCATTCTTTCTAACTCTCTCTGGAAATATCTCGCGATCGAAAACTCCCCCGCAATACTGTGGCTAAGTGAAATAAGCTAAGCAACGATATCCCGTCCGTAATATCTGAAGTAGTCCCCAAGTAAACTCCCAACGCATCCACGAACGCCACCACACCCTTCCTTTCCATTCTACAAGTACCAACCTCCACCAGGTTGTGAATCTCTTGAGGGTCCTTTCCCAAGCTGTGAGATCCCGCGATGGAGTGATATCTCTGTACGCCATAATCTCAACCCTCTCATCTCCTACCTACCGCGCATCCCAAACATCCCTCCAATCCACCACTCCCCCCTCCTCATTCCTAACAACCGGCAAGTACCCCCCCTCATCCCTCAACTCCACATCCCAAGTCCCCCACATACTCGTGCCAATCATCAACTTCCTAACACCCCTATGCACAAACGCCGTATGCAAACTCAGCTCACTCCTCTCGCCATACGTCACATTACAAGCCAGACACCGAAATCCGTACTTCCTCATTCCCGGACCGAATTTCTTCGTCTCATAGTACATGAGCGTGGTATCGGCGAGCAGCTCGATGGTATCTGAATCTGACGGTGTTGGAGATTGGGAGCCGCGGAACTCGGTTTGGGAGCCGCCCCAGGAGAGAGGGGAAGAGGGCGCGGAGGGGAGAGGCGTGCAGATTGGTGTGATGGGTTCTGAGGTGGGGGATCCTGGGGTTTTGGGGCGTGAGTCCTCGATGGAGGGGGAGTTTTGGGTGTCATGGGTTTGGAGACTGGGTAAGGGGGAGGGGAGTGGTGCGTAGGGTGATTGGTAGGTTTTTGGTCTGGAAAATTGAGGTTGCTGGGGGATTTGAATGTGAGGTGGTGCAGGTTGGGGTTGAGGGGCTGGTACTGGAGCTGGTGCTGGAGCTGGAGCTGGTACTGGTACTGGTAGTGGGGTTTGAGATGCGTAAGGACTTTGATATTGTTTAGGCGCTGTTTGATTCATAGCACGGAATTGGTTGTTGGTGGTAGTATGACAGGCAGGGATAACGGGTGCTGGTCTGGGTTGCTTATTGATGGCTGCCCAGCCACTGGTAACAACCGGGTTGGTAGGTATATTATTTTGGATATTTCCATTGGTATTGCCATTTAAATGAGCATTGGAAGTGCTGGGTGGAGGAGGTTGAGATTGAGGTTGAGATTGGTCATTATGGGCAAATGCCACGTGAAGGTTTTTCTGGTATTTCAAATCAAACACGGCATCGCATCCTGCCACGCGACATCGATATTTGCCCTTTCGGCTAGGGTTCTCCCGAGTTGAAGCCATGATTTTGGTGGGTTTTGAAATGAGGCTCAACCAGAGGTGAGGGTGATGAGAGCGCGAGTCCGTTTGGCGATATCGCTCCACACCCGGATGACGCGCGATGTAGTCCGCAAGTCTGACGAAGTATCTAACGCGCTCAGAGTCTCCTAAGTATCTCTCCGATACCTCTCTCAAATACCGACGATCTGAAATGATATCTCACTCCCAGAGCCGTCGCTCAAGCTTTCAAACGCGATTTTTCCCCAGTGGCGGGGGAGCGCGCAACCTAGCGGTTCAAAAACAAGCCAAGCGAGAATTATCACCCCTCAAATCAACCAAACCCACACCTCACAAAGCTTCCAATGGCGATCGGGGGTCGTTGAGTTAAGCGTCGAAGGGCGGGTGTGGAGATGTGGTTGCGTTCTGAAGGTTCGCTTTGCCAGGCGGGCCCTCAACTTTTCGAAGGTTGACGTGCCGAACTTAGTGCTCGCTAAGCGAAGACAGACTACCTCTCTTTTCCGGATCCCTGAAGCGAAGACCCATGGGAAGGAACGCTCCGGGGCAAAACCACCCACGGCAAATTGCAAAAGCCTGCGCCCTATCGGCGCAACTATGCACGCTCCGCCATCCAGATCGCAACCTGGAATTTCTGATGATTCGTGGTGATGTTTACCAACATAAGCGAAAATCATGCAGCCCTCCTACTGCAAAAGTGCTAAGCGCAACATGCAGATTTTAGTTCAAGTGCATTTATTAATTGATTGCATACCCTTGGGAGTATGAAGATGTTGGATGGGACTATTTACGAAGGTCGTGTCGCAATCATTATCAGCCGAAATTTTTGATGGTTGCAAGCTCTCGCTTAGCAAGTTTGCGCGAAAAGTGGAACCGACCAATCAGATAATTTCGGGGAAATCACTCTGTTTATCGGCTAGCCTATCGCTTTTCTACGTCAGTGAAATGCTACAAAGAAGATACTGATTTTGTCAACAAACTCAAGACATGAACTTGTTTTAGCTTCTTTGTCCAGCGATTCGACAAAAGTGATGCAATAAAAAAATGTTTTTAGGTGTACCAAAATGAAATCGGCCAAGTCGGCCAAAAGCAAATATTCGTAATCATATCCTACAATTAACTGTCTATTTAAGCACTACACATAACCGCACATTGCCAAAGCGCTCTAGCAGTGCGCGTTTAATTTCGAAAGCCAGCGCAATCCCAAATTCTAGCTATAGCACACAACTCCCTCATTTTACCCATGTAACCCCCCTCAAAAGAACGAACACCACCCAATATACATACCAGCCAAAAACTTTTGGTTAGTCGCCTGCGAAATAAGTTCCTCCACCTGACCTTCTACACCAAGAGGTACACTTTCATTGGGCATTAATCCTTTCACTTTCCGTCGAATATTATCAAGCACCCCTTGTGCAGTCTGCGGCGGCGTATAAACTCCCTCTTTCTTTCTTTTCTCAACTTTCTTCAACAAATCGAGTGTCGGATCATAAATAAATGCTTCCAGAATAGTCATCAAAGTCTCTTGATGCTGCCTAAGAAGTTTGAGAGTCAATTCTGAGGATTTTCGGAAAGGACCTTCGTAGCCATACATGCCCATCGCATCAACCATGTTATGCGTGAGTCTGAACGGGACGCGCTCTGGTTTATGAAAGGTGAGTCCCTTTTCAAACAAGCAGTTGAAATCAACGTGAAACGTCCCGCCATTTCCTTCTTCAAAGAGTATATTTTCGCCATGACGATCACCCAACCCCAGCATTGTTCCAACCATGGACATGACTGCACAAGACCGGGTATAACGAAGTCTAGCTGCGAACCATGTTAAGGGTTCTGGGAACTGCTGCACAAACCATTTATGGAAAACAGGCGGGAACTGTCCCAATACCTTCTGGGTAAAAAACGGAAGTTTCTCATCAGATCTGCAAGCTTCGTCGCAGTAAGCCTCAATTTCTTTGTAATTGACGCCAATGCCCTGAGCCTTGTAGAGTGCGAGGAGAATATCTCGGAGAGTCTTTAGACCTTCCACCCACTCAATTAACCCACATTCCTCATTAAGTGGCGTAACAGCGTATGTCTTGATGTATAGTTGTCTCCTACTGGCTTCTGCATCTCGCTTCAATGCCCGATTAATCATGCTATTGAATTCCATGAGACGCTGATCCTTTCGAAGATCATCTTTAGGCTTGCACATCAAGCCATATTCTTTGCCATCGGAGCCCCTCGCTACGAGCTTCCGAGGTTTCTGAAGGGAGCTCAATACGAGGACTTCATCGGAGAAAGACTGCATGGTAACAATATCACGAGAGAATGCCTTGTGAGTTTTGATGTTGTCAGTCAGGGTTGGTAGTGTTGCGGTAAGGACCCGTTCAACAGGAACAGCCATTGGACTAGGTAAACAGGTTTTTTGATTGAATCCAAGATCTTTGCTCAGACTGGCCGTAGTAGTTCGATTGCCTTGAAAGTCACCTGCATTACACGCCAGAAGCAATTGGTCTGCAAGGCGCTCGCCGCTTTTGATCAAAGATTTGATATCAATGGAGCTCGTCTCGGACTTTTTGCTGGAATTGCCACGGAGACTTTGTAGAATGCCCACTCCTTTAGTCTTGCGATCCATTTGAGTGGATGAGCATACCGCCAGTAAACTCCAAAGGGCCTGTTGTGGATGCGCAGCCACAACTTTGTATATGATGTGAGTCAAAAATTTCGATACATCGGGGTTTGGGTGATTAATTCTGGCAACAATTTGCGGAAGGGCGGTGTAGAACATGTAAGCCGGCATTTTGGAAATATACTTGGTGAATCGAAGATGTACGTTTTGCAAGTGATCCTTTCTTCTGTTGGTAATTCCGGTAACAAACTCTTTGGAATTTCCTCCATGGCGTGGATCAATTGGCTGGTTGATCTGTGTACCAAGCTCAAGCCATAGTGTAAGCAGTCGAGGCAGGGTTTGGTAAAGATACTTTGTGCCATAATTCAACGAGCGAAGATAATTTTCAATAACCAACTTGGCAGTCTCACCCGTCAAACATTTTTCAGATTGCAGCTCGGGTGGTTGCGATTTTTCAGCCTCAAGAATTTTGTTATAATGCCTGCCAAGGTAATAATGACCCTTTTCCCAATTTGAGTGAGTTTTTGCTGCAAGCTGATATTGCGTTCGTAGAGACGCTGCGTTAGTTTGTCCAGCGCTATCCATCCACTTCGCGAGCAAAAGGTGTGCTCTGGCCGTTAAGAAGTTTTGTTGGTCAACAGAGTCAACTCCAGTGTAGGTAGTCATGTCAGCTTCTCTATTATGGGATATGAATGCATTATTTTCGATGGCTCCTTGTAGATTTTGAATTGCCTTTCGATGGTGCCCCTCTTTCCATAGCAATCGGGCATGTTCAATGGTTGCAGATTCGTCTTTTAGCTGCGATGCATGGAGGACTGCATTGAAAGATTGATGCATGGCATTTCCTTTTCTAGCCAACCGTGCACTCGTGAGCCAAGCCTCTGCAACGTCCCCTTGCGTAAAACTTGCGCTGGAAAGTATTAGCATGGACAGGTTTGTTTGAGAAAGCACCACCGACCTTGATAATTGCATCGCAGCGCGTCTGATTCCGAGCAAGTATTGCTTATCATTGAGATAAGCACCAATCATTTCGAGGCGTGTTTTCAATTTTCCCAGAACCTTTGGACGATCAACCTCACCAGGATTGACTCCAGCAATCATTTCAAGCTCAGTAAGAACATGAAGTTTGAGCATGTTATCATGACAATCGCCTATCGAAGCTGTCGCCGCCACAGAAAGAGAAGTCGCTATTTGTTTTCGGGTCGCTTGTATGGTCTCTTGGAAAAGTTTGCTATCTTTTGCGTGCAGTGCCAAAAGGGCTTGACCAACTCTCACATTGAAATTTTCGCTCATACCTTTTGGCGCCATAGACGTATATTTACTCAGAGCTAGCCATCTTCCTGTTGACCATGAAGCTTCTGTTGCAAACGGGAGAAGGCGAGACGTAGTGTCGGTTGCGGTCCGCATCCCTTCAATGTAATTCAATAAGACATCTAGAAACAATGTTAGTATTGCGAAGTGAAATTTGTTTAGATTACCTACCATGCTGGCCGGATTCTTTCAGACATGTAAGTAGGTTCACTTGCACATCAACATCATCAGGGTTCTCAGCAAGCTTAATTTCATACCAGCTTTGCGCAGCGGTCCAGCGACCAGCTTTGCGATGTCCCAGAATTTGCTGCTCGATATCTAAAACATGGAGATGAGCTGAAATGCCCTCAATACCATCGGGTTCGTCAATTTGAGTATAAATATCCTGCAGTCGCTCCAGCATCCTAGGTTTCGCCTCATAATTTACTTGGTCTTTGCGGACGTGGCGGATGTGTTGTTCCCAATAGAATAAAGCACGGGAATAGGATTTGCACTCCACGGCACGCTGAGCAATAATCTCGGGCGGTATTTGTGATAGGACGAGTTCAACTCGCTGGACCTCGGGATTGACAGGTGCATCTGCTGATGTATGGCGGCGACTGAGCTTGGCCTGCTTCTCTTGAATCCACCGAGAGAAATAATCTAGTATGCGAAATACGGCCTATAAATTGTTAGCATATAGCATAGAACAGGAGAGAGGACTATTCCCTACTTCTAGACACAACTTCAGCTCTTCTTTCCGCGTCTTTGAGTCATCTTCCACATCATACGTCAAAATCCGTAGAAGTTCTTCAGTTATTTCTTTCCTATGCTGGTCAGCTCCAAGAGTGACGACATGCAACGCCACGTAAGGCAGCAAAAAACTAGCTATAGAAATGTCCTTGATTCTGATAGCTCGATAGAGAGCAGGGAAAATTATGTTTGCGTGGAGATTGAATTGTTTTTGGAGAAGGTCTAAAACAAAGGATCTCAGCCAAGAAACATACATCTTGCCAGACGCCGCGTTGTCTGGGTTGAAGATTGGATACGTGACCTTAGCCAGCTTCCCTTCTAGCAATGAATATTTCGAGGTTAAAAATGGCGTCAGCGTGTCTTGAACGTTTATTGGCAGTCGGCACCATTTCTCGTATAGCTCCTCGTCAGCTGCGTTTCTCGTACCCGTAGCGCAGATCTCTTTGAAGTCACATTTCCATAGGAGTTCTTGCATGACATATGACAAGAATCCTTGCCATGCAGTGTCTGTAGCAGAAAGAAATGCCTTTACAATCACTTCTTCCAGCATGAAAAGAACGAAATCCGTTGTTTCTGATGAATCTTCGAAATTCGATACCACAACCATCTCTTTCTGCTCCCTCACAGACTCAACCCTATTGGGGTCTAGACAGCCGATGAGACCTATGCATTCGGCTGATAGCCGAGCAATATCGTTGTGAGAACCATTGAATTTCACACAAGTGTCCAGTACTGATCGCACAAGTGTAGCCACAATTATGTCAGGCTGCTCACCGATTGCCGACATTTGAAGGAATGACTGTTCGACCTGAAGATAGTCCCGTAGCTCAACAAGCGCTTGAATAACAACACCTGGATTCTCATGACCAATTCGTCGACTAAAGATTTGGAAAGCATTGCCAGCATCAGTGGGCTTTCTCCATTTATTGATTTGACTCTCAATTTCGGACAAATCTGGGACATGGCCTAAAGAAGGAAGAAATACAATCATGTTCCGAATGAGGTGAGCTCGGTTCTTGATCAGATATTGCAGAAAATCTTCCACAGTTTTCCTTGTGGGGCCATTGAAGGTTTCCCAGCGCTGAATGATGGTCGAAAAGGTACTTTCCAACATCGGTTCTACATCTTCATCACCGAGGTACGTCAAAATTGCACCCCATGCAGACATAGCAGCTGATTGAAGAATCTTGTGGTCCAAAGCTGACTGGAGACATGCACAAATCTGACATGAAGTTAGTTAAACTCTGCACCATGTAGATCCTTGTCATTCATACCTGTGGTCGAGCGGCTCGAGCGTGAGTTTTCGCAACCTTTACCAATTCTTCGAATGCCTTAACGCAGCGCTGCTTCTCCTGGGTTGGATGTTCATCTCGGGGATCATTGACGACCTCGGAAAGTCGTGCTACTAATCCTAGCAGATGCTGCTCAAGAAACATCCCTACAGTGTTTTTCTTCTTACGGGAACCTTCACTTGGTTCAGAAGCATGTTTTGCCAAATAACCTAAGGCGAAATGAATCTGGCATCCTGTTAGTGGACATGAATGACTTAGAGCTTGGCCAACATACCCTTGATTTCTTACTGAGGTCTGCCTCACCTGCAGCCTTCAGGAGATAGAAAGCCTGCGATCCAGGTGCGACTTTCATTAGTTTGGCAAAATCAACATCCTGGAATTTGGGAGAAACAGCTTTGAGTCGTGCCATAGCCACATTCTCAATATCGCCAGTCTGAGTTAGTAATAGTGGCAATATAGCGACCATATTTGATGTTTCCATGCAGGCTAGTTCTGCATCTTTCTCGCCCCTTGCATCTGCTATCTTCTTGATCACATCGGTCTTCCCAAGCAAAACTAGCCAAGGTAAGGTATGTGTTTGTGTTAATATGAGAAACTCGGATACTGAGATAGCCAGGAGATCAGCCATTAATTGCGTGGTTTGAGGTCTCACGAGGAGGTCCTTGATGACCTCAATCGCAATAGTTCCCCAACATGGGCTAAACATGCGGTCCACTGTAACACCATTGGCTTTGGCGAGCTTTAAAATCTTTCGAGAATAAGATCAGTGACAGCTTTCGAGAAAACCTTTGATGAGGACTTACTTCGTTGAATGCAACGCCCGAAATTATGGGATTGCTGTGTCCAAGATATCCGACTAGGCTCAGAAGAACAATGTTGAGCTCTTCATCATCAAAAATCCTATATTCGTGAGCGTCAAAGATTTGACATTCATACAGGTACGACGTACCTGCCTACTTGACCTAAAGCAAGGACACAGGTCTCTTGGAATTGTAAATTTCCGTTCTCCGCAAATGAACGTAGCAATTGTAGTACATTGAATCTGTTCTTTCGTGTCAAGTCTTCTGCGGACCCGAGATCACGAAGAAACCCTACTAAAGTGCGACTAGGGAATAATTTAGCAAGATCCGAATTATGGGTCGGAATGTACCAACCCAGCAGTAATACGAAGTTCGCGAATGGAACTACGTAATGATTGTAAGCACCACTGGCCGAGTGGAGACTTTTCCAGATCGAAAAATTCCAGATCCTCGAAATGCACTGTGAAGCGTCGAAGGGCAAACATGGCCATGACACGCGGCCGTCTCGAATCAAGGAAAACAGAGGACTTGACTAAAGCCGTGAATGTTGCTACCGCTTCTGTGCTCACACTCTGGCATCTCGTTTTAGAGATATTCGACATGTCTGGGTCCACAACGCCCTCGCAGACTGGACATTTTGAGTCACGAATTGTCCCATCTGCATTGTGGTTCACTTGTAAGGAGCCATACGCAGCACAAGGTATACGAGACATATGATCGATAGCTTTACATTGGTCCTCAACATTTAGCACCGCAAAGCAGGACCTGGGTATGTTAATGAGCTTCCATGAGTGCTTGGTTCAACAGACTTACTCGGCAATATTGCTCAGTCCATCAAGGTCCGTGGCCACTTGGGCTCCAAGAATAGAATATAGGTTCCCGACTACTTGACCGAAAGTCTCATTGCTTTCCTCCACCTTCCGCCTCTTGGATGGAGGCCCGTCATGAGAAGTTTCATGTACAACCTTATCAATCATGAGATTACTAAACTCCATGTTTAGCTCTACACTGTCGTAAGTATCATAAGTAATAAGTTGTGGAGGCTTGCTAAGTTCCACTTTGCAGACATCCGAAAGAATACTCGTTGCTTTCTATCGAACGATCAGCCAGTAAAATTTGGGAGAAAAGATTATGTACCATACCTGAAAATCGTTACCGAGTTTTAGAAGAATATCTTGGTCATCAAAACAAAACCTAATAGTCGGAAAAAGATGTATTGAGACTGCACGTTGAATGGAGTCATGTTTTCGAGAGGCCAGGGCAATATTTAACAGGCAACGACACAGACATAGTAGGGAAGACTCGCCCGAAATATTATACGGAGTCTCCAGTATTTCAGCACAGAAAGTGGTAAGAATCAGATATCCTTTCCGCAGGACGGAGTCGGACAATGAACTCTTTAGCGAAGAGATCAAGGAGTGCAAAGCATGTAGGATAGTCTCGGCGGAAGACTCGGAACACTCTCGTAGTCTCGGGTTGGACTCCCATCTCTTTCTGATGTCGTGGACGATCGCGAAAGAATCCAACACCCAAGCCACATAATCCTGGAAAGCAGGAGTCGCATCCCACGTGGAAGCAGATTCAACAGACACATCGACAAGCATATTGAGGAGGCTGACGACATGAGAGAACGCATGGCCGGGATCACGTATCGTATATGTACAGAATGGCGTCGGATTAGTTGTGGATGATTCATCTGTCGAATAGACAAGATAGCCGAATGCATCTGGTAAAATCAATTCGCCCATTTTGCCTTGCGTGAGTATATTTGAGTTTGGGAGATGATTCAAGATAGCTAAATGGTGGTAAGACAATATCACTGTTGAGCAGAGACACCGCTTACCTGAGGTACAATCTTTCAGATAGGAAAAGAAAAGGAAATTTAATTTCCATAGTTTTGGGGATTTCGATACGACCTGAAAACAGACTTGGAAGAAATCTTTGATTTTCGCGGTCAGAGGATCGCACCCGGGGCGGCCAAAAAGGGTCAGAAGCCTTGGGAATAACCAAACCCATAATGGCTCCGGGCCACGCGTTGGAAAGGACTTTACAGAATTCGAGGTATAATCTAACACCAATGGAACTTCGGTGATGGTTGATGTAAAGATATCCAGAGCGTCTGATGCTTGCGATATGAGCTGGGGGATGTTCATGAAGGGGTCGTCATGATTGAGTCTTTCGAGCACCGCCCGAGCAAAAACATAGACCAGTTTGTGTTTGTGCTCCAGCTTCACCACGACATCTGTGGGCTCATGGCCACTATTTTCCAACTCGGAAACCTCGACCATCAGCCTCTTCAGTTCATCTTGTTTGGGTTCTCTTGATGATACTCGGTGGTTGCCATTGGGAGGGTTCGTCGTGGCCAGGTTGCTAATCAATTGCGCGGCCATGGTGGATGGAGGAGCATCAAAAACCCCCATAGGCACAGGGGCCCGATTGAGGCCATTTGATTGACCATGAGACTGCGGCCCATGTGCACTCGTGCGTGAATAGGGCGCCATCACTTATTAGCCATCCCACTTGGTGTTGTGAGATAGAATGACCTCGGGAGGGTGGCACGGTGGGAAGAATAACGCGTCAGGATGTGTACGCGAAGACATGTGATCTTCGGAGCGGAGATGCGGGTCGGGTCCCGCCATTCCGGGTGTGGCTTATGACAGGATCCATGAATGCTTCACTACTCCGTCAAGTATCATTCAATCACAACAATCTCCACCGGTACTCTACCGCAATGGCAGTCTTTGGTAAGAAGAAGTTTCGCTCTTCCGCCGACGCCAATGGCATTGCTGCCAAATATCGAGCGCATCTAGCTAAACATCCTTTCCTCATGTTCGGCCTGCCCTTCATCGCCACAATGGTCGCCGGTTCATTCTTCCTCACACCTGCGACAGCCGTACGATACGAGAAACATGATAGACGAGTGCAGAGGCTTACAAAGGAAGAGGCACTGGGTATTGGGAAAGGAGGCCGCAAGGTGGACATGAAAGAGGAATACTATGTTGGTGCTATTCTACTATCTGTCGTTCGCAGCCAAGCTAATATGCTTTCGTAGCGACTCGCAGCGAAGGACCTGGATGATTGGGAACAGAAGCGCGTTAAGAGGTTGCCTGGAGAACACGATGGTGTACTGTAGTCTGCCGCCCGAACATCCAGATGGATATGGCTATCGGGTTTACGGCTCTACGAATACGACGCGAAGCAGACTGCAATCAATGCGGAATTCAAGTGCATAACTCCCCTCTGCGATAGTTAATCGGGTCACTCAAGCGTGTTCTTATGGAAGTAGGTGGAAAAGGGCGAGCAAAATATTGCTTGCTACTCGGGTGCTACATCATCAAGATGGACAAGTCCATTTGAACCTCAGCGCATGAGAAATGAGAGTGGCAGGTTCCTGGCCTGTATTATGGGATGAAGCACATGGACTGCGTTCTATTCCCATAGTTGGCGCCATGGAAGACACCACTACGCCCATTGACTCATATGCAAAGGAAGCCTGGGTGAAAACATGAGCACAACGACTTATTATGTTAAAGTTGCAGTTGAGAAATCTTAAATCAAGATACTACTCAAGTCACGGCTTTTTCTTTGAGGATCATTTATTATACAATCGAGAAGATTTGATTCACAAAAACCTCAATCCATCAGTTTCTGCTAGCATCATACACCCCTCTAACAATCTCCATTAGAGCCCACGCTCCTGGATCCGGAAGTTTCTGCTCATCTCCCCCAGCACCAACATAACTTGCCCTGCCAAACTTTGGCTTCAAATCTTTCGTTCCTGACGCAGCATTTTCCGCTACTTGTACTGCTTCTCCCAAATCTCTTTGTTTTTCCAAGGTCTCTTGAAATGGTATCAGCACATCCATCACAGTTCTATCACCAACTCTTGCACCAGTGTGCTTCTTGAGAGAATCAACAGCATCTGTGAGAGCTGGTGCGAAGATACTCATAAAATCTCCATCCCCCTTCGCTTTCTGAGCTTTGAGGGTTGATGCCAAGGCCGCAAGGAGGATCCCAAAGATAGCGCCCAGAGTCCCTCCCATGTCATCTACTGCGTCAATTATAGCGTGGAGTATGGCAAATATTGAGCCGAAATCTGCCACTCCACGATCTAGTATCTGTAACGTCGCTATGAAACATGTTAGCTTGAAGTCTTTGCGGTTATATATTCTGTTGCAATACCTTCACTAACTCCTTTCACTGCTTCCCCGCAATCTCCATCACCCATGACCATATCCCATTTTGTCAAATTGGGTTCAGCTGCAATCGCTCGTTCCGCTGCTAGTTTGATTGCTGCTTTGAGCACAATAGGGCTGACTGTTGCGTGTCAGTATAATTTATATACCATCTCCCTTGCCATTACATACTTTTGATATCCTCGTTAGCCGATACTTGAGCTTGCTTTTCTATATCTATTACTGGAGCTGCTGGTCTCTTAATCTTCGCTGAGGTATTTGAAAGCACATTCGGCCATGCAGGTGCATTCGTGGTATCTTCCAGTAGTTCTATTATCTTTGAAGTCCCAGCATTCTTGCCTGCCACAGTAACATTAAATAATGAAATGGAGAAGCCAGGGCCATTTAAAGATGTCTCGAAACAACCGGAGTATATCTTTACTGGCCTGATATCCCATTCCTTATCTGAGAACTGTTAGCCATGTGCATCCGAGCCCTTTCTTTATTATTTGCGACTCGCCTAATTGAATGAGGGTGACTTGAGTGAGTGCACCCAATTCCAGATTCGAGAGTCCTCCATAGTTGTTGATCAGCAGTACTACCTCATCGTCTTCGTTGAATGTTACGAATGCTCGTTCGGGATCATTGGGATCACAGAGTAAACGTAAAAGTTTTGAGATGAGATATTCCACCGATGGGAAGGGGGATATTCTTTCTGCGCCCTGGTGCATGTTAGAATTCCTCCTTCTCTCGAAGCTGGGAATACCAATATCGGGTGGGGTCTTACTGGCTCGTTGTGAATCCCTGCTCCTATTACACATACGTCGTCCCCGATCTCATCGTGGTTCTGCCGGCCAGGGACGTGGCAATGATCTAGTACGGATCCGATGGATACTATTTGCTCATTGCACGCCCGACCGAGTTTGACGCAGCTATCGAATTCCCATCCTCGCTTCGCGGCTGCTCCTAGTATTTTCATCGCTGTGACATATCAGTACACTTCTTCCCTTCTCCTTCCCTCACGCTCCCACTTGCTTCCCCAAAACAAAACAAAATAAAGAAACTGCCGAAAAAAACATACAAATCACATTCCCCGCCAACCCCCTCCTTCCCACCCTCCCACACGCACTCCGTCCAATACTCACATCATCCCCCGCAACCAACACCTCACACCTCTCCGCCCACCCGCCCGCCAGCGCCCGCTCGGCCGCCAATCCAAAATGCAACTTATCCCCCGTATAATTCGTAATCAGTAATATCGTCCCCTTCTCACTCCTCGTCGCTGCGATAGCCGCCAAAATCTGCTTCATCGACGGAGACGCGAAGATGTCGCCGCAAGCTGCGGCGCTGAGCAGTCCGGAGCCGACGTAGGATGCCCATGCGGGCTCGTGGCCAGAGCCGCCCCCGGAGATGAGGGATACGTTTGGGTTTGGGGATGGGGAGGGGAGGGAGAGGATTACGCGGTGGGAGGGGAGGTAGGTGAGGTGTGGGTGGGAGGCGAGGAGAGCGGAGAGGTGCAGGGGGATGAGGGTGTTTGGGTTGGTGGTGGGGAAGTAGTGTTTTTTTGACATGTTTTTTTTTCTTTCTGTTTTGTAGCCTTGGGGGCTTTAGTTCTGCTATTTTGGATTGGTGTGTGAAGGGGATGGGGAAGGGGAAGGATTTTAAAAAGGGCTTGGGCTTTGAGGTGTGAAATGGATGGATGGGGATCGATGGGTGGTGGATTGTATGTATATATGTGATGCGAGGTCGGACTAGCGGGTATATATCAATCCTGTACTCGTACTGTACCTCCCTCTGTGACGTTGTATTACAGTACCGATACTCGCGTCATTAGATTCGTTGAATTCGTTTACCAAGTTTCCCGCGACCTGCAGGTCGTTCGTCCCTCCTATTCAACATTGGTACGTTAATCAAAACATCGATGCTGAATTGAAGTTACTTTAAAGAATGAGACATCATAACTCTCTCCATCCCCATCATCAAACATGAATTCAGCCATTTTTTCATCGCTACCGTATACCCTAATCTATCTCCCCTTTCTTTAAGATGCTTGAAAGGTTCTCTTTTTCCTGCTGCTACGGAGAGGTGGTGAGATGATGCACGTATACATGAACCTCCCCACATTTGTTGACCCCACCTTGCCTTGCTTCGTCCGCTTGAGCGGGGGTGATACAGTACTGTACTGTACTGTACGGTAATCCGGGGTGTGGTCGCATGCCACGCCAATGTGTCAATTTCTCAAGAGGTGTGCATGTTTCTGGATGTGTTTAGGCTAATGTTGAAGATGGGGATTTGAGTAAGCGAGTTTGTAGGGTGGGGAGTGGGAGTGGGGGGGTGTGATTGGTTGGTTGAGTGGAGTGTTGATATGGGCTGGGGATTTGTATTGTTCCCTAGGGGCTTGGGGGGGTTGTTTGGGTTTGGTAGGTAGTTGAGTATGCGTGATTGGCTTTTTGGGTGTAGTTGTTTTGGGGGAGGGGGTTTGGTGGTGTATTGTTGTTGGGATTGTTGGAGGGGTTGAATATTAATGTTGTGCCGTTTCCTGAGATGGTTAGCTTCTGGTACGGTATAGTAAATATGCTTCGGGAAATCTTTTCCATGCTGTATGAACCTCTGGTTGCTGAACTTGATTATGTCCCCCGGTAAGTTAGTTGTTAGTAGATGTACTTGTTACTATATAGGTTAACTCTCGTATCACGAGATTGCTTATAATATATACACGTTTGGAAAATCACCGTGATGATACCATTCTTACTTTATTTCTTTACATTTCCTGTACGTGTGTTAGTTTAGATTTAGTAGGAGTTGGTGCAGTAATAGAAAGGAGGACTAGGATTTACTATTTCAGGTGTGAACCTAGTATTTGATTTATTACTTTTAATTTCAAGTCATAACGAATAACGTGATATTTTTCTCGTAACTAGATGCTAAGGATTGAGGTGGAATATCCCAAGGGCCTTCTATTACCCTCTGAGTTGGAATGGAATGTTCTAAGGGATAAGGCTTTGAATTTCGAGTTTAAACAGAAGGATATAAATATTAACCTTTAGCTAAGAGGCGAACGCTCAGTTACATAGTAACAGCTACCAGGCAGCCGTATAGCGTAACACGCTTGGTTTGTACTAGCGTAGTCTAATACTACTTTCTAGGCGCGAATAGTCAGGAAAATACCTTGCACGGCTCGTCCTGAGGTTCATATTGGTCAAATAGAGAAGAACCATTTTTGTAGTTCATGTGATACTCGTACATTTCAACTCGGAATTGATAGACGCGTGGAGTTGTTGGAATATTCTAGTGATTCTACTATTTGGAATGGAATACCGTATAGAGAAGTCTTTGAATAGAATGGAATTCCAACTTTCAAGCTCCGATAGCCTAAATGATATATAATATAAAGATATTTTAACAGTACTACTTATAGCTAAAATGAAGATTTTTAGCGGACTGGCGTACCACGACGAATACAAAGTTTTTGGAGAGGCGCTCTCCTCTTACCAAAACACGAATACTTTAAATTTCTAGAAAACAAAACATTGAACCCCAACGCCACACTAAGTGCCAAATTAGTTCCCCACATATACTCATTTCCAATGTCTCACTTCTTCATAACTCTTCTGAGGAATATTTCCATCACGGCGCTCATTACCAGATGCCCTGATCTGTTTCAAATCCATGTCAAAGCAACTTCTGCTCTCCTTTTCGCCACATAGCGGATATGCACGACGATGACACATATCGCAATATATACCCTCGACAATGCATACTTCGCCCGCATCCTGGGCTATGAGTCGAATGTACATCGGTGTTGTGCTGGTTTTGCCGCCGTTTTTACCGCTCATTGTGAGGCTTAATGAACCCCCTTCGACAACAGGATCCTTAGAACTGGCGGTTCCCATCTGATTCCCTAGGACATCCCATAATTCAACTATCGGAACTACACCTCCAGGGGTCTCTATAAAATAAATTTTAATGGCAATATTTTTGAGAGTGTTCGGGAAGACATACTAATAGATTTGTCTGGAAAAGACACACTGGTATTAGTAGCGCCAACACCAATATTTACTGTCACTACGTTGGCTTCTGGTGTTTTTCCGAAACTCGCGAAAGCTGGAATTGATAGTACGCCGGAAAGTCCAAGAACTACTAGATTGATTGCTAGATTGATTGCCGCCATTATGTGAAAGCTGCTGGAGAGTCTTCTCTCGTCGAAGGAGACGTCACAGGTTCGAGGACGTTATTCTAATATGTTTATTTAGAACAGCAAAATAATGAAGAAAAAAAAAGATAAAGAAGGGAACAAGCAGTGTTAGCAATAGTACAGTTTGTACAGTTTTGTGCTCAGTTTTATATACTATAAAATTAACCGCGGTTTCAATTAATATTTGAAAACTATACTAAAAAAAGATAAAACTAACTAAGTAAACTATCGTAGTTTTATAAAACTATACGTTAATTTAATCTAAATTAGTAATTACCTCTTGTACGAACTCGTCTACTTCTCTTATAATCTCCTTATCGTCCTATTCCTTCAACTCCTAGATCTTCTTCTTAATTAATAGAACTTCTTATTCGATATCTAATAGTCTATACTAGTTCTTTAGGTATATAAGAGCGTTAATTAATGCTATACTAATACTATTCCTATAGTCCGTAACTATAATCATTGAACTAGAAAATAACCGCTTAGGTGCTGCCGATATAGCTAGAATCGATAATAGCAAATAGGGACCGCTTAGGGTAGCTAAGCGATCCAAGGATTTTCATTGGTTTGAAGTCACGTGATGGACACCAAAGGACCTCGAGGGGATCCAAAGGGATCCACGGGATACGATGAGAACGAAGGCTCTATATAAGACTGGCACGTCTGCCATTAGATAGGAGCTTCGTGCTCAACGTAGTTATCAATCTTATCATATTAGTTTGACATCTTTGATACAAGTAACGAGTTCACTTCCAAGTGAACAACCCGATAGTCTTCTTCTTATCATAGCATACCAACCAGCGAACACCCAGCCAAGTTTAGTTAGCCAGTTTGAGTATTCGTTACAACCAACCAGCGAACACCCAGCCAAGTTTAGTTAGCCCGTTTGAGTATTCGTTACAATATAGTACTTAATAAATTAGCCTTCTATAACAAATACGACTTTTATATTAACTCTCTAACTATTTTAATACACAAGGATCCTATTACTTAGTAGTTAGAGCAAGTGTAATAATCGTAGTATCTAAATCTATCTCGAATAGCCCTAGACGTATAAGAAACCTGGATGTGCCTGTCGAGGGTTGCGCCTCCTATTTACGACAGACATCACGTGAACACGTGATTCGTGACATATATCCTTATTACGTAGAAATCGTATAAACATATCCTCCTTATTAGAATAGATAGTAGAAGTAGCTATATTCAAGGTAGCAGATACTAGTTTATACTCGGATTTCTACAACTCTATAACTAGCGATTTAATAGTATTATAAAGATTCGAGTTCTAATTCTTATTAATATATTCCTACTGTAACGAATACTCAAACTGGCTAACTAAACTTGGCTGGGTGTTCGCTGGTTGGTATGCTATGATAAGAAGAAGACTATCGGGTTGTTCACTTGGAAGTGAACTCGTTACTTGTATCAAAGATGTCAAACTAATATGATAAGATTGATAACTAAGTTGAGCACGAAGCTCCTATCTAATGGCAGACATGCCAGTCTTATATAGAACCTTCGTTCTCCAAATGTCGTTCTACTCGATCGACGTGCTGCGACAGCTCGCTTGTGCACGCTGTCGCGCTTCCATCACGTGACTATGAATGCTATGAAATCCTTGGATACTCAACAACCCTGAGTAACCACTGCTATG